AAATCTCTTTAGAATGGATTCCAGGCCACTGTGGGATAGTGGGAAATGAAAAGACTTCTACGCAAAAAAAAATCTAACTCAGGAAATTGAAATGCATAATAAATTGACGTTATTTGAAAAGACAAGTTTAATTTTGTACAGTTCGATACCCAATCGGCATTAAAAATCCTTCAGCCAAATGTTATCTCACAATATTCTTGTAAATTGGGAAGAAAAACTGAAACTATTCTTAGGCGACTACACCTGGGAGTGTCTCAACTAGGACCTCCTACGTTTGGGCATCCACCCAACAGGTTTCTGTGACAGCTGTCCAACAACAGAAACGGTCAGACATTTTTTGATAGAATGTCCAAAGTATATTAATAGAAAGGGCCATGTCACAAGTTAATATTTCCAAGGAAGAGGACATTATGATATGTTTACGAAAAAGTGACTCTCGTTGCAATCGCTCGTTTCGTTTTTAGAACGAAGCGATTATATAAAAAGTAAACCGTAATTAAATACCTTAAAGGTAAAGACCAGTTATGGTCATGCGATTGCATTGTGAAAGAAACGTTGTGGAATCGATCAGAAAAGGTTGATCATCTAGCATCTAGCATCTGCAAGGTTCTGGAATCATCAAAATGATAAGAAATTTGGCCCATTCTTCGTAAATTTACAAGCACTATACACAGAAAGGTGTATATGGGACTACCCTATATCTCTCACAGACCATGAGAGAAACAAATTTACCAAATATATGAATTAGTAGGCGGTTTCCCGGCAAATTTTTTATCATCATGTATTAGTCAAAACATATTCTTTCACATGATTGGTAATGAGAGCTCCCATTTCATTTTTTGAAAATGGGGCGTTTCCAATACTGGTCTTTACCTTTAAACCCCTGAGCTTCCGGGGGTTCTTCCCCCTGGACTCCCCGCCAATTAGTGACCTGCCAGTGTCACAAATAAGGTATCTTAATATGCGCTAAAAAATGGCACCCCCCAAAAAAAAATAAAAATAAATAAAATAAAATATTTTTGTATTTATTACAACAAACAAATCAAGCTGAGGGTGACAATATCACATGCCCCCCCCCCCCCCCCCCTGCGTTTTTGACCTTGCACTTTGTCTGGTGAAACGCGTTACCGTTTCTATTCCAATTTATGGCATTTCCATTTTAGTTAATTTGCATCTGTTTAGAACAACGTCAGCCAACATATTATTATTTATATCCAACATTTTGTTAATTAAATAAAGGGGTAAATGACGGGTTGTTTTAACGAATCTGTAAAGTCGATATTCTTAATCTTATATTCCCATTTAGCCTACATTTTTCTTTATGAATATCAATAATAACTGAATCTGAGATTTATGAATAATTCTGAAATATACTTGGGGTTGTTGAGGTTTTATCATAAAAATGCTATATTTGGAGCTCCTGCATGCTGTAAATACTTGAGAACTTGTTAGCTGCGGCAAGTAGCAGGTGTTATCATATTTAAATTTACAGCTTATGAACGGTGATTTTCAGCAATTACTTCATCTACACATTTTTACTTAAATTATGAGCTTTATGCTTTTACTCGTTAATATAAATTTATGACACGGCTTATTGTTGAATGGTTCATTTGTGACCAGACATTTACCTTTCCTTTTTTGCTCAAGTAGGGGGGGGGGGGAGCTGTTGAGTTTTAACAAAAAGCGCTCACTATGCTACCCCCCCCCCTCCCACTGAGCGAAAAGATCGGCCTGCGTGATTTTCAAGGGCAAAAAAACAAAACAAAAAAAACTTAGTGCTCAATACCCCCCCCCCCTTCCTCCGCACTGAGCGAAAGATCAGCCAGCACAAATTTGGCCTCTCCCTAAGAAATCCTGGATCCGCACCTGCTGTTGACAATATTATAGTAAATGCACTGACATTCTTAGTGTTTATCGTTTTTGTAAATTATATTTGAAAAATTAAAACATGCAGAAAACATTTTAAAATGTATAATCAGTAGGCCTACTTGCAATAATATTTCATTGGTAGATTAGGATAGACATATTATTAATCTGAATAACAATTCAGCATTAATATCTCGAGTTGTCTGCCATAGGCACTGTCGTACTGAAAGTGATGAGGTGGGGGGGGGGGGGGCTTGGGCTTGCAGGGGGCAATACAATTCAATTTCTAATTCGATACTAGTGATTTACAAATGTTGCTAATATTACATGATGTTCTGGGAATTTTTCTCATTTTTTGTAAATCATATTTTTTTAGGCGTTTGTTGGACAGTGACAAATTCCAAAATGTACAGTAAGGTAAAAAATATGCTTATATGCAGGTCCCGCGGAATGGCGGGGCTCGGGGCTCGAAAAAAGTATGTTAAAGAGAAATAGAGAGAAATAATTAAAGAAAGGATAGTAACCTCGCACTTTCGAGTATGGATGCCACACATGAGGTATCAACATAATGCTCTCTTCAGGGGCGGCTCTAGAGGGGGGGGGGATGATTTGCGGTTGAATCCCCCCCCCCCCTCTTTGGGCGGCCAAAAGAAGAAAAAAAAGGGGGGAGAAGAAAAAAGAAGAAAAAAAGTAAAACAGCGCGATTTTGCAAAATCCTGGATCCGCCACTGGGTCAAAACCACCTACCCCCCCCCCCCCCCCCCCCCTTGGGAAAAAGCTAGATCCGCCCCTGCTCTTGTAATTTATGAAACCATTAATTATCGCGTCAAATATATACTGTGTGCGTGCGTATTATGAATATATTTTATGATTAGCGCATGACGTCAAGTTTCTTTTGAGCCAATCAAATGCAGCGATCGACTTTATTCACAAGTGATATCGATAGCGCTAATCGTCTGCTAGGAAAATATTTGCCTACAATAAATTTTATATACAATTTGATTCAAGTTTCGACAGACGTTCTGAGCAAGAATTTTTGGGTTGCTAATTAACCCAATTTTCGGATTTTCAACGCTTAATAATCTCTGCAAAGCGTCTATATCTGGCACCGCGCCGGTGCCACCATGTTGTACTGTTTCCGTATTTTCAACAGCATCTTTTAGGTTGATAACCACTGTTGTTTCTTTAACTGGGTAAGTACCATCCGCTGCATGCCACGCATGCCAGGCGAAGCAAAGCTTCAGCCCGCTGCCCGCGCCTCCCGCTCGCGCCCTAACTCCAGGGCAGGGAGCTCCGACGCCGACGCCGATTAATGGCCATGGGGCAGGGTTACAACTAATAAGCATGCAAATGGCCACATGCATGTAGGTCTAACGTTAGACTACATTAATAGGCTAGAAATCTAGGTCCATATGGTACAAGTTGACACTCTTTTTACCACCCGACTTGCCTGGTCTGGCATGGCATGCACTTTGCCTTATTCAAGTTATTGGCATGTTTGTTGCTGATTTTGCGTTTGACTTTGACTTTTGAATTTGAGATTGCATGATAGAAATCATAGAGGTCTAACTAGATCTAAGTCTACTTGAGTCTTGACTGAGAATTGAGATACCGAGTGAGAGACTAAGAGTGAGAGTGAGACTGAGACTGAGAGAGAGACTGAGACTCTAGAGTGAGACATGAGACTGACTCGGCTCAGGTGAGTGAGTGAGAGTGAGACTGAGTTTGACAAAGAATTTTTTTCCTTCTTTTTTGGTACGGCCAAGTGCAAGTGAAGTCACTCGAGAGTCGAGTCCAAGGATGATGGGAGGATGTCACTACCGTCTGGACTTTGGTATGCTGAGTGACAATGTCTGTCTTGTGCGTTGTGTCATATTTTTTTAAATCTGAATTTCTTCTCTAGATCTAGATCTAGACTCTAATTGTTAGATGCCTTCGATTGATGCACAGCAAACCACCCCCCCCCCTCATTTTTTTTTTATGTGTGTGATTTTTTATGAAAGCCCCCCCCCCCCTCATTTTTTTAATTATTTTTTTTGTACCAAAGGGTGACCCACAAAGTGACCTTACCCTCCCCCTGCAAAATTGTTGGGACCCCCCCCCCCCCACCCCCCCCCCCTGCTTATTCAGCGGCTGGCTGAGTCGTTGCGTGATTTTCAGCCCGATTTGAAAATGTTAAACCCCCTGCCCCTTGAAAAAATCCTGTGTATGCCACTGGGTGTCATAATATGACAGAGCAGGATTTTCTCCATATTCCCCAAAGGGGCTCGACCCAGAACTCTAAAAATACCTTGATCAAAACAGCGATTAACATTGTTTCCATAACTCAGAGATTTACCACTTTCATGAATCGAGCCCCTGAAGGACAAGTTGGGCCAGCTGTAAGGAAAATATCCATGTGCTTATTTTTTTTCGCTAGCCCCAAGGAGTCACAAGCGGTAACAGTTTGAAAATACCCTTCCCCCCCCCCCCCCACACTTTGCATATCTTATCAAAAATTATAACTCTGCGTGTACCATTTAATTGGACAAAAATTTGATGAATATTGCCTAGATTTCGGGGGGCTGTATCTTTTGATAGAAACATCGCCGAGTCTTGAAATTTGAAATGTGTTCTTTTGATCTGAGTACCGTAGTTGATTTTTTCAATTATCCAACCATAAAGGTGAAAAACAATCCAAAAGGAAAAATTGAAAAATCGTTAGACACCCTACTATACCAATACTATGAACATGACATAAGATCTAATTAGTTTAGAAACCAATGTGAAATTTCAAAATATAAGGCCTTTTTGGCTGCTCTGATTCATCTGATTTCAGGATGCTTTGCAGCACATTCCAACTGCACCGATGCCACCTCCACTCACTGCGCAATATGACACACTTCAGTCTCTGTAGACTGTATAGAGTGGTCAGAGGAGCTAGATTTAGTCTCATATTGGAACAACCATCAATGCAAAGGACTTGAGCTTTCTGTCTATGTAATTGGTAAGATGCTGCTCACAACAGGCCTGGCTCACAAGTCACTTTTGCATCTATATCCTAAACATAACTTTCAAGGAATTTTTCTCCATTAATCTTCATCATTAGATTGTAGGAGTATACTATGGCTCTTCTGTTTGATGTACACACCGATCGCGACCTGCCTAGTCCAGAGACAGGAGGGGAGTCGTTCTTAGTCAGGGGTAGCTACCTTTACTACCACTACGCTTGTGATGGTTTTAAAGACCAGGTAAAATTTAAACGATAATTACCAATGCTTAAATACTCAGATGCCTCCATGTGCATGATTTGTCTTTGGAATAATCACTTTTAAATATATAGTGGAGATTTTGAAGATGATTGCATAATAATTAGCTTGTTCATGTTGGGTTCTCATATATGAAGAGGCCTGCATGTTCAATCGGAATCCTCACATCTAATTCACTTTTTATTTAATTAATCAGTGAATAAAAAAGATAGCTGGATAGCTTAAAAAGAAAGGCCATTGCTTGTTGATCTGATATGATTCAGCAAAATGATGATAGTCCACACTCAAGTTATGATCGTCATGGGCATTATATGCTACATATTGTATATTGTAAAATTACAATTTGACCCACTTTTCAGTTATCCTTTAAATTTTAAGAATCTCTAATCTCTTCCTCTTTTCCAGGGATGGGGGTGTGGCTACCGCACCATGCAGTCGCTCTGCTCCCACATCCGCATCGCCAAGGAGACAGCAGGGGAGGGATCATCTAAGGGTTGCTGTGGTGATGAACCAACCTTGAGGGAGATCCAAGAGGCACTGGTCGCGATGCAGGACAAACCGGAGAGCTTCGTTGGGTCAAGGGAGTGGATCGGGTCCTTCGAAGTCTCACTCTGCCTGGACTATTTCCATGATGTGAGTTTAAAGCTTATCTGTACTAGTTTATAGGAGGGATTACACTCGTCTGCAAGTTGACTGGACAGGTGATTATCTCATTAACTCAGCTCTCAATTAACATAAGAAAAAGAGGATCATGGGGGATCAATGGTCACCGATTATATAGAGGGAGCATGTAGCTACAAGTAAGACAGTGTGGCTTTAAAAGAACATTTTGAGAATAGTGTAGATCTTGTCATTGTGGGGGCTTCAGCCATTATTGGGATGCTGTTATGGAGGTAGGGGTAGGGCACCATTATTGCTCTATGAATGAACTTTGAGAGAACTGTATCAGTGAATGAGGGGGGGGGGGGTGGGCTGAGGATGGCATTGGATCCTCTTCGTTATTACATTGATTTCCAGCGTACTTTACATGTTTACATGTATACTGTAGATATTTAAAGCCCCACTGCACTACTTATACAGAGATGCCAACTAGTACGGATTTCCCGTAATTTCTACGGGAAATCGGCCGATTACGGGCGGTACGATTTTCATACCATAAATCCCGGACTTTGCTGATTTTGCCGATTTTCAAAATTAGCACTTTAAGGTTTAGCACGTACTTTTGACTATTGCAGCGCAGCCATCCTTGAATCCATGCATAGAAATCCCATAGGGCTTCCGATTGGACAATTTGTTATCTAGCACACCCCTTTCACAGTGCAGGTGCATACATGTGTGTCTATGTATATTCTGACTGTGTGCGTGTGTGCCCAGCAGAGAAAGACAGCTTCGCGAGCGGGGGCCGGGTGAAATACCTCTCTTGGCCGCGCGGCCAGCGCCAGGCCTCGCTACGCTAGCGCCGTGTACACTGTCGGATTTCTCACAGGCTGTCACAGCGTTCGTCGATTCTCGTCGACAATCTGAACTCATGTTGGTTGGATTTAGATATCAATCATCATGTCTTCCACAACTAAGAAGCGTGGCAAGAAGTTACAGACTTTTAAAGAAGAATACAGTAAGAAATGGAAATGCATCGTTCCTTCAAAGAAAAGCCTGAATCATGCTAGGTGCACGATATGTGCATCAGATTTCAACATTGGACATGGCGGGCAAAAGACTATAGTAACATATCGAGACATTTTGTCATGAGTTCATCCAGTCTTTCAGTAGAATACTTTCAATATGGAGTTACATGCACATGTAACACCAACTAATGAACAGGTATGTTACTTTTATTTAACTTGTTGTGCTATCGCGCTTGCCTGCAGGAGCTGCGCTTGCCAGCGTGCAGAAAAATTTGCGTCGCGCAGAAAATTACTGATTATGTCTCCAAATTACTGATTTTTAGCCTTATGATTACTGATTTGTGCTCTAAAAGGTTGGCATCCCTGCTTATAGCTACTTGTGCCCTGTATACAGCAAACAATGCCTAATCGGTGACGATTGGTCCCCCATGATCCCCTTTTTCTTATGTTAGTTGAGAGATTATTTGATGAGATAACCACCTGTCAGTGACCATGCAGGGAGGTCTAATCCCTCCTGGCCAAAATAGTGCAATGGGGCTTTAATATAATTAATTTGTTACAATGATGGTATAAAGTAATGTGTACAAGCACATGTTACTTCTACTATTTCAGTAGTGTTTTCATTACCTGCTGCTGATTAATTATAAAAGGGTTATATCCAAAAACCGTTTGGTTTTATACTTGGTGTTTATATAAAATAACATGTACAGTGTATGATCCAGCGCTATTGTATGGTAAGGTGATGTGAGATCTTAAACTCTATAGATAGTATAACGTGATTCCCGCATGAATATGGACTCGGCAGTTTTGTAGTCTTTGATTACTATTTCTTATTGACTTCATTTTCAGGTTAGTGGAAAGATCATCCACCTGAGTTCTGGCGATGACATCCCTGGCATTGTTCCTGATCTTATTCAACATTTTAAGACCCTTGGCACACCGATTATGATGGGTAAGACGGGCATCATTTCACATAACCACCTGGGACCCGTTTCACAAAGTCTTTTTTCAATGACAAATCTGCTGATGACCAATCAGAATGAAGAATTTCAGTAGCTTATAACAAAGACTGTCATTTGTCACTGATGACAAGTTTTGTGAAATGGGGCCCAGAAATACAAGTTCATCAACATCCTATCAAAATTTATGTTGAATTCAATACATGTGTTTCAATGGGTTGTCGGCGAACTTACATGTATGAGGGTTCGTGAAATGCTGTCCTAGGTCCCAACTTTCTTCCTTGTTTCCTGCTCGGCTAACTACACTGTTAAGGTTGACCAAGAACAACTTTGGGCGTCATTTCAGATTGCATATATTTCATAGGCAGATCCAGGATTTGTTTTTAAAATAAAATTTAGAAAAAATCTAGGCACGTTCTGAATGTTTTCTGAACCTGGCAAGTTGATGTTTATAACCAGCCAATGTCTTGTTTAGTTGTCTGTGAATTAGACTAATTGAACATTAGTCTTGTTAAGTTTGTTGTGTTTGACCTCTGTACACTCTAAATTTCTCACATAAAATTCATTGAAACATTCACTCATCCTCCAACAAGAAAGAGTTGAAGTCCATCGGGTATCAACAAAATTTCAATTTTTGTTGTGATCTTTTGTTTTTTATAGGTGGAGACAGCGATGCTTCTTCTAAAGGAATCTTTGGTGTCCATCTTGGAGCTACCCATTCATATCTCCTCATCAAGGTAAGTCAATTGTTCATAATTATGTAAATTTATTCAAAAAAAAAAAAAAAATTGCCTGTGACAGTTGTCATTAAATTGCTGAAGAGAGTCCAGCATACTAGTCTGCAGGCACAGACATGAATTTGACACTTCACCACAATTCCTAAAGCCCTGAGCAGAGCCTAGCTCTGACTGTCTAGAGCAGCTAAAGTATAGAGCCTAGTATGCTGTCGGCCTAGTCTCAAAGTGCAGACATTGTTATGCACAACGACTGACAAGGATTTCAACGGCGCACTGTATTCTTCTTTTGTTAAAAAAATAAAATAAAATCATCATTCAATGGTTTTAGAAATATCTAATTCCAATCATAAATATATTGATAAACAGATGGGCGGTCAGCTTGTACATTGTAGAAGTCATAGGATTCCTGAATGACCATAAGGTTTATGATTAGGATTGCAGCATGAGCTAAATCCAGGATTTTTTTTACAATGTGAGGCAAAGATACCCTTTAGAGGTCCACTGCACTACTTATAGCTACTTGCGCCCTCTATATAATGAACAATGCACAATCAGTGACCGTTGGTCCCCCATGTTCCTCTTTTTCTTATATTAATTGAGAGCTGATTCGATGAGATAACCACCTGTCCAGTGACCTTGAGGGGGTGCTCTAATCCCTCCTGCACACTAGTACAGATGGCCTTTAAGATTATTGTCTACCCTTCACTGAATGATTTATCCTTCTATTGATTAATCCTTCTTTTCTTTCGTCTTTTTCACTTCATAGGATCCTCACTTCACTGGTCATGCAACGGTAGAGGAACTCATCCACAAGGAATGGGTGTCCTGGAAACGAAGCGATTCTTTCATGGCCACCTCTTTCTACAACCTGTGCCTTCCGCAGTTCAGCAGTGCATCAGACAGATGACGACCCAATAAAAGTTCTGCTTGATTTACATTCAGATGATGGAACTCTGATGTAATTTCATAGTGATCCAAAGCACTTCAGCATCAAGTCACAGAGATAAGATCCTAGGCAACTGCTGCATCAACGACCCGATGAAAGTTCTGCTTTTTAGATGATGGGACTACTGTAATTTCAGTGTTCCAAAGAGGTGACCACTGCTCACAGACACAGATAGATGACTGGCCACCTATGCTTTCAGGAGTTCAGCATTATGTCACAGAGATTAGAACCCAGGCAACTGCTCCAACACCGTAATGTACTTGTAAGAATTTTTCAGATGCAAACTTGTTGAATAAAGTGTGAAAATCAGTGTTCAAATCCAGACACGACACACGGCTAAAAATGACTTCTACCCTGCATTTGGGTGTGAAAGTAACAGCAAAGCTGTTTTGGCTGTCACACGTCATCATGTTCAACACGGTGCATGATTTTTTTGATTTTTCCTGATTTAAAAAAAAAAAAAAACTTTTTTTCTTCCCTGTTTTATCATTATTTCCTGATTCTCCCCTTATTTCCACTATTCTTCCCTATTTTGCCCTATTTTTTCCCAAATTTTCTTACTCGAAAGGGGGGAATGTTTTTAGATGCCATTTTTTCCCGGCGAATCCTCTTCTTTCTTTTTTTTACTCAAGGGGAGCGTGGTTGAGGGGAAAACAAACTATTTTTTTTAGTGCTTACTATCACCCCTGAAAAGTTAGACGGTGAACTGGGGGTATTTTATGACGAGGAATCTATAATTCGCATTGCCAAGGGGCGGATTGGTATTTATACACCCACAGAGCGCAAAAGAAACAAAACTTTAATAAAGAATCAATAGCTGAATAAATAAACATAAATACATGTGTGTTTTCTTGCACAAATGGTTATCAGCCACTTCTGCTACACACCGGAATGTTCTTGTTTATGAAAGCACCAACATCTTTGGAAGTATTTATGTATAATTTTAGAAATGTACATTCTAGTTTTTACTGTCTATACTAATATCTGGATAAATAAACATAAATACATCCACTTCTGCCACACACTGGAATGTTAGCTTTTGCCCCTGAAATTTTGTTAGTGAGCCTAAGTTGTTCATCTCTTTCTCAACCGGCACTTCCCACTTGAAATCTGAGCGCTTTCGTACTACGTAGAGTGCCTCTGGTGAGGTGCTTGCGCGGTGAGGTGTGTGGTTCTCTGGGCCCTCCTTCTGCACCCTCCTCTAGGCTAGCGACAGGAGCCGTTTCTGAGACAAATTGTATCATGCAGCACAAAGACTTTCAATTGTAGACTCTAGCCTAGGATCTAGTTGCCGGGGCAATGTGTACAATAACATGTTCCTATTTCTGAAGAGAGCCTTTGAATCCATCCATCCATTGTCCATGGCAGCGAACATGGAATCTTTGGGAGCACCCTCCATGTACCTGCCGCAGGTCTCTGTCCTCTTCCTGGGCACAACAAACGTTTGGCTCTTGTCCGTGTTTCGGAGTTCATGCACGATCTTTGTCCCTTTTTCGGCTAATACTCTTGTTCCCGTCTTCCCTCCCAGCGCAAATCCAGATTCATCGCAGTTAAACATTCTACTACCCTCATTCAGAATGCTAACCGCTCCTATTTCTTGCAGGTACCTCTCGAACCCTCCAAACCACTCTTCAATTCAGGCTGGTGTTACCACTGCCCTCTCCTTTCCTATTGCCTGGCTCTTTCTAAAGACGAGTCAGCGGTTCCTCTGTAGAAAGCCTGAAAACCAGCTCTCTCCAATTCTGTTTTCTGTAAAGGGTGTCGGACGACCGTCCTCCTCAATTGTCTTCTTAACGACCTGTAAAAGGGGAAAATGACTCTCGATGCAGTGGGGATGCTGACCCCGTGTATCGTTGCTGTGTTACTGAACAGAGCTCCTTGCCCGTAAAAGGAGAGGGCTATAAATACTCGAAGGGTACCAGGAGCTGCATGGTTCCTTCTGGTAGGAGTTTCCAAGTCGATCCTCGGCAAATCAATGATCCTCATGCATCCATCTCGCGTGAATCTATATCTCTTATGAAGTTCTCTGTCATTATAAATGTCTAATGGGTTGGTCCTATCTCTAAAAACCCTCTCTCGCCTCAACGCTCTTCTTACTTCCTCTTCGAACACAAAAAAACCCTACCGCCATGATCAAATATCACACGCAGATAGCAGAGACTTTGAATACTTAGGGAGATCTTGGTCACTCGTAGCTTTACGAGAGACTTTTTACTCACAAAGACTTTTATGTATAGACTTTGCTTTGTGAAACACACTAGTCTCTCGTAAGTAGGCCACTTACGAGAGACTTCGGGGTTTATGTAGAGACATAAATTCTTTGTGATACACCCCCCTGGTATAGCTAGCTAAAGAATCTACAAATCAGTAGTAAGAATTTTTAGTCCTTTCATCTTACTGGTGAGAGCTTGCTCCAGTCAAGAAATCGAGGGCCGTGACAGCTGCCTCATTGACTGTGGCATCGTCGTCATAAGGATTGTTCATTTGAATGAAATCCAAAGGACACATGTCCTTCACGAGTTTGCTGATGGGTGTGGGCTCATCTGGTGGAGGCCCACCCTCAGTCTTCCTTGATTCCGCTCTGAAATTGCCAAACTCCTTCTTTGCCAGGAGCCTTAGGCTCTTCCACTGTTCTTTAATCTGATGCCGCTGCCAGTTCTTCCCGTGCCTAACTTGAAAAAGGTTGCAATCTCCACCCATGCATCTTTCTTAGACTCGTTGTATTTAAAATCTGTTCTTTGATTGTTAATTATGTTAATTCTATCTCCAATTAATTCAATTAAATAAAACCTCTCAGAATTCTGCCAATTTACTTTGGATCTGGATCTTGATGCCTCATCTTCCAGCAGCTAGTGTGGTATAGCTAATGAGGATGATAAATCTAGTCTAGCTGGAGTAAAATCTGTTCTTGAGATTCAGGGTTGATGACAGGGGTCATAATCCAGGGAAGCAAAGGGTATCCTGAATCACCCAGCAGTATGCCGTGGAGTCGGTGGTTGGCAAAAGCTCGCCCTATTCTGCTCATCCTGATGATCCTAGAATCGTGGGTTGCCCCTGGCCAACGTGCCAGCACATTGATGATATGGTACTGGTGGTTGCATTATACCAGTTGCATGTTGATGCTGTGCCAGCTCTTCCTATTGACATATTGTGGCTCCTGGGGCCCCAATCTGCAAGCATGCAGTTGAAAATGCGTGCAGTCAACGATGCCAGTCACCTTCGAGAACCCTGCTATTGCGATGTAGCCTTCCTGTGTGTCTTGTACTTGTTCTGCTGTCATTGGAAATCTTATGTACTGTCAAGAGAAAAAAATATGCACTTTAAATTTGTAGTTACAGTAACCAGCACGACAGGTCCACATAGATTCAGATAAGCTCTTCAGTGTCTTGATCCGCTTGTCTGCCATTAGTCTCTTCATAAAAGACACTATTATGAACTAACCTTTCGCTTTCATGTCTTCTGACTGTCTGTTTAGACCATGGCTCCCTTGGAGGTGGTCGTCAAGCCGTTGCACTATTGCCTGGCAATTCTCCAACGGGCACATTCACCTCTCCTTCACCTTTCCTTTCCTTTCGGCTTTGTATGAAATCCAAACACATTACCTGCTACACTACTTTGAATATTACGTATATTACGTCGTTGTCCTGCATAAATCCATGCTGGGTGGGGTAGACAGCTTGCAGGAAAGGCTTCAACGTTCCTTCTAGAATGGCCTTGTAATAGTAGGTTGCTTTCATGATCCCGGTGAAGACCAAGAAGTGGGAGGCACCGGGACGTGATATTGCTCCCCACACATAAATTTTTCAAGGATGTTTGGGTCGATTAAAGTACTTCCTTGGCTCACCGACTTTTCTGAAGGTTACTCTCCCGTTTCGAAACAGTTGGATTGACGTTTCGACACTGAAGACAACATCTTCGAAGGTGTCGATCACTCTTGTCGTGGAAGTGTTCATTAATTTCTTGCAGTGGGCAACTTGTAATTCCCTATTGACACCCTCTGACAATGTAAAAAGTTACGTAATAATTCAAGAATTTTTTAAAAATTGGAATAAATCAAAGAAAAGCCCATGAAAGATGGACACATGCATAATCACTTTCATGTGTTGGTGCACTCCGCATTCAGTGCGCTTATTACTTTTGTTGTTATTGAATAATTAATACAAAAATTATATAGCCTAAATTAAGGATATTCAAAATACCCAGTGCATTTTCTAGTTTGGTGTCTAATTCTGAAGTTCTGTATTAAATAATGCCATTATTAAAAGTGTCTTGGTAAACGGCCTCCCGGCTAGTTGGGAGAATTTTCGGCAAGGGGGTGGGATCATGATCAGACTACATATTTTCCAATCAACATTGCCGTTCTATATACACTTCGAGCAAATTAAGCAAACACGAATAGTAGCTATTATATAGGCCTAATTTTGTTATTATAAATTGAAAAATTTGGGGTCGTTTTCAGTTGGTCACATCTATTGACATGATAAACATCAAGATAAACGGTGAAGAAGGAACCAAAATTGGTCATAAATCCCCGAGTTACTATCCAGGTTATTTGAAGAAAACTGATTTGCGTTCATCCCACACTCCCCCCCCCCCAAAAAAAAAACCCACCATAAACACAACTGTAATCAAATCGATGATTGTCCACCGTTTAGATTAATGATTATACTTACAATGTTGCATGCAGTAATCATGCAATGCGTAATTGAAAACGAATATGCCATTGCGTTTGCATTGAGCGGCTTTCAGCGTCAATGCCAAACAGCGACGAGGTCGGCGATCGATGAAAGCTTCCATTCTGTTTAGAAAATAAATCAAACATTATAATTCGTATGTCATCATCATTTATCAAGTCGCTCTGAGAGAAAACATAATTAGCAAGAGATCAATGTAGGCCTTTATATACTCAGTGACATAATTATATTGTAAACATATCAAAATTATCATTTGCATAAACTTTGGCTCACACGTCACCCATCCAAGTCGGCGCCTTGATAGCTGATACTGACACGTTCATCCCGTAGAGCTCTATCAAAATCTGGCGTAGTTTTTCAGCACTCAGCTCGTTATCATTCTTATATGCTGTCTCGATGAGATCCTTGAGTGGGTCTAGTCTGCTTTGTCTTGCTGGTCGTGGCTGAGGTGCAGTACTCTTGGTCTCCTTGTACCTCCGCAGAAATCGGATGATGGACTCTCGCCTCACTGCGATGTGCTCCTGCTGCAGGCGCTGAGAGATTTCAGTTGGTCCCATCTTGTCTACCGTAGCCATCTTAGCTACTCTTTGCCTTGTGTCCGGTGTAGATATTGTAGCACTTCCCAATGCTCCAGGGATCCTCCAAACAGCTTCCTGTACTATGCCTATTAGCTAGACAATTTGCTTTTCCTGCACAGCATTTGGCTTAACCCTTACTGTACTGGGGGGGGGGGGGGGCCTGGGAGGCCCCCCCTCGACATTTTTGGAGATCGCGCCGCAACCGCTCGGAATTTTGAATTGTCGTTTCATGACTTTTTTCCTTCAAGTCTTACGCACATTTTGATACCATTTTCGTCGAAATCGGATATACC